TCCAGTTTCCCCTTATACAGCTCACACCCTCTAATTGAGGCAGTATCCTAATAAACCTCATCTGCACCTTCTCCAAAGCCTCCACATCCTTCTTGGAGTGTGGCGATCAGAATTGAATGCAATATTCTCTTATGTGGGACCTTACCAAAAGCCAATTAAACTACATCAACTGTCTACAGAATCTTGAAAGATGACCACCTTGTTAAAACCAAAACAAAAAGAACGTATGATCTCTCAAGTCAGATTTCAATCTGGGATCTGCTTTGTCCAATAACAACATCCGTGGGGATTGTAGCACATTGAACAACTCACAAAGGCTCCTTTGACAGTACATTTCAAACCTCCGAACTCTACCAGGTAAAAGTACAAGGAGGAACACATACTTGGGAACACCACCAGCTACAAGCTCCCCTCTAAGTCAATACTAACTGGGAACTATATCAGCATTATTTTATTGTCGCAGGGGTCTACATCCTGCATATCTACACCAAATTCTCAAGGGCAATTAGGGACGAGCAATAAATGCTGGCCAAACCTGTGATATCTAAATCCTATTAATGAAAAAGTCATGAACAACTTAAGATTCATTAGCTGAAACTTCACAAGTGCTTATTTCTTAGTCATGTGAGGAGAAAAAAAAATCTAATTCTGCAACACAGGAACAGGAGTAGGCCATTAAGTCCCATGAGCCTGTTCTGTCAATGAAATGGAGTTCACAACTGAACTACAATCAAACTCCGTTTGGCCACCTTTGTCTTGTGTCCCTTAATACTTTTGGCCAATAAGAAAAATCCATTACTGATTGACTATTTACTTTTGATCCAATATTAATTCTAATTTAGAGAAAAGATTCCAAACTTCGACTACAATTTGAATTTAGAATGCTCATTTCATTCCTGCAAGGGCTGACTCTAATTTATTAACTAAAATCACCAGGCCTCAATTCCTGAACGAATGGGACAGTAGTTCCTATCCGCTCCCCTCAAAATATTGAAAACTTTCAGGAAACCATATCTTAAATTTCAGGGAATATGACTGAAGTTTGTTTAATTTCTCCTTTGAGTGCAAGCTTCATACTGGTAAACCTGTACTGCACGTGCTTCAAAGTCAACATATACCTTGTAAAGTGTTCTGCCCATAAATAGTTTAAGTATTCCAGATGTGGTCTATTCAAGACAAAAGCTTAAGGTTTTACATACTTGTATTCTAGTTCTTTCAAATCGAGGTCAGCTTTTTTTGAGCAGGTCACAATAACTGTACTTCACTAGCTGCAAGGTAGCATGAAACCTTCTGAATGAGAAAAAACATTTAAATGCAACTCTTTTTTGTACTTGTTTTAAACACATATACAGTTCATCTGCAATAGTTATACTCTGCTCTTTCTCCATCCATCCTGAACGTTGATAGCTTTTCCTTGAACATTTTCAATGCAGAAAATTTCAAACAGAATAACAAGCTCTTCAAAATATTTTGCACAGCAGACAGCAAAAAGCCACAAAATTCATTCTTCGGCATTAGCCTGTTTTGCACAATACCCTTGGATTTTTTGGTGGGGGAAGCAGGTTTTAAGCATAACCATGGAGGAAAAGGTTTTCAAAACAGATGATAGCTATTGGAATACCATTCAAAATCCAGAGTTATAAACTGCGTGCTGGGACAATGACCATTAACGAAAGTATTTTATGATGGTGGTGCTGGTGCTCTCTTTGGGGGTGGAATACATTCACAAAATAGAGGGAGAGCAACATAACAGCACAATGCTAATGTTTCTTTGAAACTTATGCAAACGAAAGTTCCTAATCCTCAATTCAGGTGGACTGAAGCAAACTGTTACATTCTACATAGTAAAATCAGGCAGGTCAACAGACAGGAAACCAAACATGGGAATTTTGAGGTCTTCAGGGCTCGGTATCTCAGAGTTTGTTACTCAAAGCTATTATGAACAGTCAGCTCACTTACATTTCAACCAGCAGGTTAATGACTAGAAACCACAAAAGTTTTTGGAAGGGAATTTCATCAGGGTGGTCAAGGAGAAAATGGTTTCAAAAACCAATCTGCAATTTAGGCGGAAACGTGCAATACCCAGGCCAGTTCAGTAAAAAGTGCGGATAGGGCTATGAAATCAGGCACTAAATTAGTATAGCCAACATTGAGCCGGTATAATATAGTGACTAAACTTTTGACCAATACCAAAATCAGTTCCTCGGTTAACAAGTGAAAGACTAAAATACATGAATTGTTTTGGATGATTGGCTAAATTCAACCACCTTCCAAACAGAAGGACATACTCACTGAATCAAAAGTATACACCAACTTGGACTTAGCATATTCTTGAATTGAAAGTGAGATTATAAAAATTTGCCTACAGAAAGCCAATATCATGAACCATGACAATGATTACACTGTACATCACATTTCAATTAACATGCACATTATATTTACAGTCCAATCTTTGCCATCCAGAACTATCAAGATTGTGTCCTAAAAAACACTTGCATTTTCCTGTCTATACACTTTGAAAATGAATTATTCATGTACAGCAGCTCTAGCTGAATTTATTGAACGTCCAGACCCCTGTGGACAAAGAAACTCCAGCTTCAAGGTAAACATGACAAATAGGTCCCAAGGTTTAAATTATCAAAAGGCACGTTTAAATTATTCAGCCACGATAACTGATTGATTCACCAAGTCAATACGTGTTTGGGACAAGCTGTGAGGTACACAGTACAGGTAAAAATTGAGGTTTAAAATACAGTTGGATATCAAAATGGGAGAGCAACATGCTCGAGCCATCAATTTAAACTATTTTTTAAATTCACGCGTGGGATAGGAGTGCTGCTGTCTGGCCAGCATTAATTGCCTGTCCTTAGTTACCCTTGAGATGGCAGTGGGTGGTGAGCCGCCTTCTCAAACTGCTAGTCAACATGTTGTACATTGATACATAACGCTATTCAAGAGGCAGTTCTAGGATTTTGACCCAGCAACAGTGAAGGAATTGCGATATATTTCCAAGGCAAGATGGTGACTTGCTTGAAGGGAAACTTGCAGGTGGTGGTATTTCCATGTATCTACTGCCCCTTTCCTTTTAGATGGGAGGAGTTGTGGATTTGGAAGGTGCCATCTAAAGGATCTTTGGTGAACTTCTACACATGGCTGCTATTATGCATTGGAGGAGGGGGGGATGGATGCTTATGAATGTGGTGCCGATCAAGCGGACTGTTTGCTCCTGGATGGTTTCAAGCTTCTTGTGTGCTGTTGAAACTGCACCTATCCAGGGATGTGCAAGTATTGGGAGTAAAAGACATGACCACAATTAATTACACTAATCAACATCTAGGTGAGCTTCCTTTGACACTTTTGAACCATACGGTTCTCTTCTAATTTTCCTCCACCGATGTTTAGCTGGTGACAGAGTTGCTCTAGACTTAGTTCCATCCTTCCTTAGCTTGTAGTCAGAGAATCACTTATAGTGGCTACTCTTCAGACTTCTGCATCACATCGTGTGCTCTGAAGAGGAGTCCCGAACTGAAAACGTCAACTTTCCTACTCCCCTGATGCTGCCTGGCCTGCTGTGTTCCTCCAGCTCCACAATGTTATCCGACTCCAGCATCGGCTGATCTTACTATCTCTCAAAATTTATCCTTGGTTTCTCAGCTACCTCACAGTGATACCATCTGCAAGCATGTCAGATTCCATACATATGTAAATAACTCACAATGTCTCGATTCCACTACTGTCTTTGATTTGTCACACTGATTTTTGACACCTAATATTGGGTGAGCATAAATTTCCTCCAACTAAAGATTGAAAAGGCTGAAATTAATTGTCCTTGGTTCACAACTACTTCCCCCATCCCTGTTAACTACCTAATGGTAAGTAACAAACAACACAGATATTGTGCTTGAGCAAGAGATAAGATTCTGACCAAAGATCCAAATCAAGACTGCCCACTTCCACAACATTGCTTTACTCCAATCCGGCCTCAGCTCATCTGCTGAAATCCTCACCTATCATTTTTCCCTTCTAGACTTGATTATTCTATTGCTCTCCTAGCAGATTTGCAATCCTCCACCCCACATAAATTTACACTCATCCAAAACTTGGCCATCCAACACCCTGCGATTGGTGACTTTCACTGACTCCAAGTTAAGCAATATTTCAATATCAAAATAGTCATCACATGCTTTAAATTTCTAAATTGCCTTAACTAATGACCCTCCATTCCAAAGCCCTATCATTGCAGCCTTACAAGTCTTCAAGCATTTAAATCAATGCAATTGCAATGGTTTCTCCAGGTCATAGATAGGGCTGACACAGGCCAAAGGCAGGAACCAATATAAAATGAATCTGCTGAAATAAATGGTTCGACAAAAAGAAAATATTATAACGTAATTATTTTCTGTGTGCATACTACATTAGGGTGGGAAAGAAGAACTTTTAAAAAGTTAATATGAAGTTAGGAAAAACAACTTCAATCAAAATCCTTCAACAGCATGTCACTCTGATGAAAGCAAGCCAACCAATACTTTGCACTAAGCACACAGTACAGTGAAATAAGTTTTACTTGCAGTCTTTTCACTATAGACTAGCTGGTTTAATTTATAGATTTTTTTTCAAAAAGCACTAGCATTTATAAAGTCTTGTGACAGTTAAACTTTTACGTGTGTTCCTATTAATTGATTACGGTGACTTAACACCGAAATGAAACATAGACAGAAGATAAGACACCAAGACAAAACACTAATCCCAATCTCATTTACTGGTATCCTCCAATACATTCCTTGCCATCTCTTCATTCCCATTTTCCCAAAAGCAACAGGAAACACTGAACCAACATTTTAAAATTGTTGTGAACCATTACACTATATATGAAAACATTGCTCAATGATGCATTCACTGCCTTTTCTGATTATTTAGTCAGGAAATAAAAAGTTTTTGGCAGTATTACCATGTAACTTACAAGGAAACATACAATAACTGAGCAACAGATGTCATCTTACCTTTGTTTTTTTGTTCAATTGCCTGCAACAAAAGAAAGTCGGTCAGTTTGAAATGAAACCTTACGCCTAAAGATCACCAAACAGCTGCACAAATGGATTACATCCTCTTGTGGAAAACATCCAAATAAATTTCAAAAATCAATGAAAGTGACCATTTATTATAAAAACTCAATTACTGGTACATTAGAACAACTGCAAAGCAAAGTTTTATTGTAATATGTTTTCAGTAAAAGCAAAGGTTTTTATTACACAAAGGCAGTTTACATTACTCATGGGCAGGTGTCCGTCAGATGCATTACCAGCCGTCCACTTATGCAGCTGAGACTCCATATATTCGCTATTTAAACAAATTGCCATTAAAGGTGGGTAACTAATCAGAGATGCTACCACTGATACAGCAATCATTTCCTCATTCCACAAAAACTAGACAAATGGGTAGCCAAAATGACAGGCAAGGTGTGCATGCAGATCATTCTTTAGAGAGGAACTTTTAAAGGAACTGCCAGACTCCCTCAGGCCCCAACTTTGAACAAACTATTCCATTTAGTTCAAAGCTTCTAAACAGGTAAGTTCTGTAACATGTCCAAAATCAATTCAGACTTTCCAAGGTCCCCAGACAGCCAGTACCAAGCTGGGATCAAAAACAGGAATAGGCCATTTGGCCCTTCAAACCTGTTCCACCATTCAATTATGTTTGCGGCTGATTGTCCAATTCAGAATCCTGTTCCTGCTTTTTCCCCATACCTTTTGGATTCTTTAGCCTTAAGAGCTATATCTCTCCTTGAAAACATTCAGTGCTTTGCTCTCAACCACTTTCTGTGATAGAGAATTCCCCAGGCTTACCACTCACTCAGTGATTTGCTGAAGAAATTTCTCTTCAGCTCAATCCTAAATGGACTACCCTAAATCCTTAAACAAGTGTTGAACTCCCCAGTCATCAGAAACATCCTTCTTGCATTTACCCTGTCTAGTCCTGTCAGAATTTTATAGGTTTCCAAGATTTCCCCCCCTCATTCGTCTAAACTCAAATAATTATAGACCTGATATAACTGATAACTGATCCAGTCTCTTTTCAAACATCAGCCCTGTCATCCCAGGAGTGTCTCTGCTATCCTATAAAGATGGGCAATTTTTGCTCCTCTGTTCCACTGACCTGCCAGAAGATAAATCTATCAGCTACGAGGACGAGTGCAACAACTCTTTCCACTAGAGGTAAGGTGACAAACAGCTTATGTGACATGCCTTGAAGCTCACTATGAACTTTAGACAATGACCATGCAGTTGCATCTAGTAATAGCAGCATGATGGCAAGTCGTTCAAAGCCCATGCTACAACAGCAATCACTATCTCAAAAGTAGTTTATTGGCTGTAAAGCACTTTAGAACATCCCATGGTTATGAAAGGTACAACATAACTGCAACCTTTCTTTACCAGTGGTTAACTTGTTTAAGAGTTTTGGAAAAGCTGTGATGACCTGGATCTAACTTGACAAATGTCACATACAGTTGGATTCTGAATTGGCCAGCCTTAAATTCACACCAATAGTAGTCTTTGCATCACTCTGTGTCACTGTTTCAAGTATTGTTCGTAATACTTTTGAGCCGATGTCTCTGCATCGAGTCAGAACAGCAACTCGAGATTCACCTCTAAAATATCAAAATGAACAGTTCAAACAATTAGAATAAAAACAGGCGTAAGTTAGTTGTGATTATACAGCACGTTATGGCACAATGTTTTTGGAAAGAGACATCCAAATTAGACAGCATATCTTGTACTAGTAAACAGGTCATTTTGAAGACTATCCTTTAAAATAGTATTTTAAAAATCGTCTAGATTCATGGGCAAGAATCTGTTTCCGATAAAAGATACACTACATTGAGCCTCCTAAATATTTAAATTCCCACACTTTGATGGAGTTATTAATTGGTGGGTTTTGGGGTCCTCGTCTATCAGGACATAAGTACCATACATTCTACAAAACCGAACACGAGTGGTGGTGGGAGGAGCAAGTGTCTATTGTTCTAATCCTAACCATTTCCCAATGAACCAGTGAAAATTTTCTAACTTAACAGAACAATTTGAGAGGTACTGAATAATCCACGTATAAAATTTCAAAGTTTTTCAATAAAAAGTCATTCCAAGGCAGGCAGCTGGATCTTTCATTGCCCACCCCACAATAATGCACTTTTATTTCAAACACTCTAGACAAAAGGGCGAAGTTCATTTTATGCTGCTCTCCCAAGTAGTATAGTACCTTCTTCAAAGCGGCTTCCTTTTTCTTCTTATCGTCTTTTCTTTTTTTCCTTTCTTCCATCAACTGTTCTTCCTTTTCTTGCACTCTATCCCTTTGAAATAAAAACAATAAGATTCAGGAGGAGGCATTTTGTTTTTGTTACTGGAATGAAAGACATGGTCTGACAACTGAAAAACAGAAAGAGCTCTGTGTAATGTATCTACAGGATAACCTTATTTTAACCTTTCAAGGTGTAGCTCAAAATGTTATGCCTGCATACGATATGAGAGTGAACTTCAGCAATCAATTTCTTTTAATCAATAAAAATGATTCAAGTACTTTGATTTTGCAAGTGCTTTTGAACCTCCCAAATGAAGAGAAGGGAAAAAATGATAGCCTGCAAGACGACAAACTTCTAATCAAATTGCTTTATCCAACCTGGACAAGCATATACACACACACTTGGGGAAATGACAATGCTTAGTTTTACTGTCACAAAAAATAAAGTAGCCTGATGGACAGCTGAACCATTTCTGCAGGGATCACATCACATAAGCACCAGGATGTAGGAAGCCAAACTCATCAACAAAATGGCATGATCCAAGAAAACTAAAATGGACTCAAGTTGCACTTATAACCTGTCCTTTTGGACTGTTCTAAAATAGGTCCTGTTCAGTCTAGTCTTTCCTTGCTTCAAGGAAATCTTATTTTTTACATTTCTGCCAATTCCTCAATTGCAGTTCTCTTGCTACCAATGGCAGCTAATACAATCCCGTTAATCCCTTTGTCCTAGCTGCAGAAATAATCTCTTTCCATGAGTTACAAGAACTGCCTCTGGATTTGCCACCACAATCTTTGCATGAAGACTGCAAATTGATGACAGACAGCTTTGCAAATAATGTAGAATGGCACCAAGAGACCAATCACCCTCCAATATCAATTGTTGATACATGGAAGTGATTTGTCATAGGTAGATTAATGGGAAAGGCCAAGACTGTGCCAGAACTACATGGCAATGCAAGCAACTCTACAGAAATTTTCAATATTGTATCAGCCTAAAAATAACCCTAAATGAGCTTTAACGTTTATTGATGGGTACCAAATTATAAAAAACAATAAAAAAAATTGGGCATCGCCATGCTTGCATTACAGCGTGCCAGATGTGCTCATTTTCAGTTATTTTGAAAGCATTTAGAAAAGGTTCTGCTCACCACAGCTGTAACATTTTAAGTTCCACTCCAACAATGTCATAACTGAAAATACAGGGCTAGTCAAAAAACGTTCCATCGCAACACTGCAGGGAAAAGTGGAATTCCATACAATGTCAGTTTACTGCTGTCTTGAAGCATAAGGAGGGAAAATAAGGGGTGTCAAGACAGTGAATACATAAATCTTTTTTCTTCTAAGGTGTTAGCTTGGCTCTGTTTGCATCACTTTCACATGCAATGCAAAGTATGAGCATCAAACAGTGGAAGCAGTATGTTAAGTACAGTCAAGCAATTCCATAACCTACAGAACAGATCTAAGCTCCGGTCACATCTAAACAAGAATGATGGTGGACAATTAGTCAAGGGTAAGATGACCAATAAACATCCCCATCCTCCGTGATAGGGAAGCCCAACACATCAGTGCAAAATGCTGAAACATAAACACCTCACCATCAACATTCTGGAAACACTACCACCATTGACTAGTTATTTAACTGGGCCTGCCCTGCAAAATTCTTTGGGAACAAAAGCACGTCAGTGGGTAGGAATTCTGAGCAAGTAAATGACCTCCCAACTCTCAAGGTCCATCATCTACAAGGCACAAGTCAGGGGTATGATGGAATAGTCTCCATTTGCCTGGAAAAGTGCAGCTCCAACAATACTCAAGAGGTATGACATCATCTAAGAAAAAGCAGCCCAATTGATGGGTGCCTCATCTACGACCTTCAGTGTTCACACTCTCCATTACCAAAGCAAGGTGGCAGCAGAGACTACCATCTACAATATGTACTGCAGTATCTCACTATAGCTCCTTCAACAGTACCTTCCAAACCAGTGACCTCTACAACTTAGGAGGACAAAGGCATCAGACACAAGGACTACCATGACCTGGAAGTTCCCTTTAAGCAACACACCATCCTGACTTGGAACTATATTGTCGTTGCTTCACTGCTGCAGGATCAAAATCTTGAAACTCCCTTCCTAATAGCACCGTGGCATATGTACACGGAATGGACTATTGTAGTTCAAGATGGCAGCTATCCACCATCTTATCAAGGACAATTATGGGTGGGCAAATGCTGGCCTAGCTGCGAAATAATAGTTAATTATTTTTCACTTCACGATTTGGGTAAACACTGCATTGCAACACTGAAGGAGCGGGCTGTTTTCAAAGATGTTAAACAGTGGCCAAAAATATCCAATGGCACACTCTTGGTAACTACAGACAAAAACTGTTCAAGCTGTTGCTCATGCATCCAGAATTAGGGGTGGCACCATGGCTCAGTGATTAGCACTGCTACCTCAACGCCAGAAACCCAAGTTCAATTCCACCCTCGGACGACAGTGTGGAGTTTGCACGTTCTCCCCGTGTCTGCGTGGGTTTCATCTGGGTGCTCCAGTTTTCTCCCACAGATGTGCAGGCTAGGTGGATTGGCCATGCTAAATTGCCTACAGTATTCAGGGATGTGTAGATTAGGTGGGTTATAGGTCTGGGTGGGATTCTCCAAGGGTCAGCGTGGACTTGTTCGGCCAAAGGGCCTGTTTCCACACTGTAGGGATTCTATGATATGTCTATGATGTGAATTATCAGCATGACAATCTTTAAAATATTTATTCAGTCTTTGCTTTCATTTCTGTCTTTAAGTCTATACCACACTGATCAATCTGTGCGAAGAGCTTCCAATCAGTTCAAAAATGATCCTTTACTAAGCTGAATTCAGGGCCCTTATCCTACTGCAAATAATTGAAGGTTTTTTTTTGTAATTCAATTACCTGCCTTAAATTGAATCAGAGATAGTAGGAACTGCAGATGCTGGAGAATCCGAGACAACAAGGTGCAGAGCTGGATGAACACAGCAGGCCAAGCAGCATCATAGGAGCAGAAAGGCTGA